TTAAGTCAATTTATAGGATAAAAAAATCAATATACAACAAATGTCCTATAGAAATCGAAAAGGAACAATTAATCATGTGTCCGAAATGCAATAAGTTATCTGACTCACTTCATCACTGTACAAACGATATATGTAGATATCAAACCGGCTATATTGGTGATGATCCAATTAAATTTGAAGTTTTAAGTGTTGAACAACAATTGCAGCTTCTATTTAGACGTTATGATTTTTATGAAGCTGTTACACGAACAACGTTTGATAATGACCCATCAGACATAACGGTATCAAAAGAATACTCAAAACGAAGAAATTGCAAACAATGAAGAAATTGAGGTATAGCTTTAAATTCTGGCTCATAATGCAGCTGCTTACTTCGACTTATTGTTATTTTTTGAGCTTCTTTACCATGAGGTTGCCCAAATTTCTGAATTTAGGTTCACGCTTATATTTTTATATCACCTGTCGACAAACCGGCACCTTGTAAGGTGCAAAATCATAAACAGTTTAATGGTGAATACGGTTGTGGGATTTGTGGGCAGTCAGGTAAAAGCTGTTCCATTCTTCAAAAAGATTAAAATGTCACTTTTGTTACTGTTACTAGGACAAATGCTGAAAGAAATAGATCCGGAAAAGTATTCGGCTAGACGAGCACGGGTGTATCCATATAATAACGACGAGCCAGATGGCCCGTTAAGCCACTAACAGACTGTGCTGGAGATTCATCGTGCGGCGCCCTCATCGGAGATCTCAGTAGCTACGCTTGAGCATAACAAAAAAATATGGGGAAATGAAATGTTATTTGAAGCTAATTTAAATCTAAAATTTTCATCCAATGAATTTCAGTTCGAATTTTGAATATCCTATATGTTTTAGTGACACTATAGCGGATGCACTTAGTCGTCAATCCTCGTGCTATTCTAACGTTTTCTTGCCAGATGGATTTATATAGAGACACGCATTTTATGACTTATACGACAAATACGTGCGTGATTGAAGAAAGGACGGGGGCGATTATTTGATGAAATCGGCCCCTGCTCGAATTCCATCGAAACACACATGGTTAGATGCAGAATGAACAGGAGAACATTTTTAACCACTCGACAGACCTTGGAGTTACTCTAAGAAAAAACTAGGTCGAATTTACTGTAACCAAAGTTCTACTCTTCTTTCTTCAACGATGACGATCCTGTGCTCCACACTTGATCACTAACCACGACGATACATATACCATTCGATAGAGAATTTCTCGCGCTACAATTTAATATATACAAAGTTGTGAGAAAAGTCTCCTAGGGCACCTTGACATTAGAAATACTTTATGCAAAGCCGCAGCGAATGGGTGATTTATTGAACGGAGACGATCCAGTGCTCCACACTTTTCCACTAACCACGACGATACATATACCATTCAATAGAGAAATTTACGGGCTTCAAGATGAACGATAAACAAGTCTTTCAGAAATATGTCCACATGGATCAGTAGTTGAAATACTTGTCCAATATAATGATTTTGACCTATCTTAGTGCTTTCAACACTCCGTTAGTCGTTTTTCTGCCATAATGAAAATTATGTATTGTCCCAAAACATACCACTGGATAGCCCTTGAAATTCTCTACAAAGTGAGCTAGTCACAATGTACACACAGGTGGGGCTTGTCATTAAAGATATTGAAAAGAAACTTTTGGGTGTTATCTAAGCAGTACCGTGTGTCATAATCACAAGAACTCCCTTGTTTTTGACCTTTTAGTAAAAGCTGGGATCAATCTGAATAGTGTTTTGAAAAGTTCGAAGATTTTTCTATCAGATTAGGTGCATGTCCGCCTTTCATGAGAAAAGCTGATAATAGAGCTTCTGGAAAACCTGCCTGCTTAAAAACCAAGTCCTTAGTTTTTAGTGAGAAAATTTTGCAAGTCATATAGCCTTATCGAGCGAAAAATTCTGAGCAAAATAAGACTGCTTCCGGCATTCTATAGCGCTCTTTCACCAGAATATTTTGGTAACGTTGACGCCCCTTGCGGCTAGTGGTAAATCGGCTGTAGTTGCGTGAAAAAGCTCTATAGAATGCCGGAAGAAGTCTTATTTTGCTCGGAATTTTTCGCTCTATCAGGCTATATGACTTGCAAAATTTTCTGACTAAAAACTAAGGACTTGGTTATTAAGCAGGCAGGTTTTCCAGAAGCTCTATTATCAGCTTTTCTCATGAAAGGCGGACATGCACCTAATCTGATAGAAAAATCTTCGTACTTTTCAAAACACTATTCAGATTGGTTCCAGCTTTACTAAAAGGTCAAAAACAAGGGAGTTCTTGTGATTATGACACACGGTACTGCTTAGATAACACCCAAAAGTTTCTTTTCAATATCTTTAATGACAGGCCCCACCTGTGTGTATATTGTGACCAGCTCACTTTGTAGAGACCTACTTTGTATACATTAAATTGTAGCGCGAGAAATTCTCTATCGAATGGTATATGTATCGTCGTGGTTAGTGATCAAGTGTGGAGCACAGGATCGTCATCGTTGAAGAAAGAAGAGTAGAACTTTGGTTACAGTAAATTCGACCTAGTTTTTTCTTAGAGTAACTCCAAGGTCTGTCGAGTGGTTAAAAATGTTCTCCTGTTCATTCTGCATCTAACCATGTGTGTTTCGATGGAATTCGAGCAGGGGCCGATTTCATCAAATAATCGCCCCCGTCCTTGTATTTGTGCTTGTATTTGCTTTTTTTTACTGTTGCAAAATAGGATTAAATAAAAAAGTAACTAATTTACAGCGTAAGTACACAGCATTTCCGGTGAGAGAATAAGAACACTTAAGTCGTTCCTGCTTTATTCTCGCACAATTGAAATTTTTCTTGAGCTATTTTGTGTCTCAGAATAAGTCTACTTTATGAGAAAATACACCAAATCTAAGGACTTCGTTGCTGTATAGACTCAATCAATGTTTACTGTATAGAGATCTCAAATAAAATGCACAGAAGTGAGAAATGCATTACAGATTGATGTTTCCGTAGCGATTGTGAGTATCCTCGGTGTAAGATCGCTTTGTTGTTAGTGACTCTCAGGATGTAGCAAAGATCAGTTCGGTCCTATTTGACGCACAGAGGATTGGGGCTCAGCCATTCCGCCTCATTCATAGGATGCTAGAATGGCTCTAGCAACGAACTGATATTAGCGATAGTATCTACAGATATACATTCTCTGAAAGTCCAAGCGTGAATGCTTTCTTCACATATGACAAACGTCACCTTATCGGTAATATTCACACGCGAACCATAAAACATTAACTGCTCTCACTTTTATTTTGAGATCAAATACCAGTTACATGTAGAACTCCAATTGAGAAATATACAGACGAACTTACAGAAATCAGAGATTGAAGCTGTTTTAGAAATATCTGTCAGGACTTTCTTAAAAGTTCAAATGAACGTTAATGTAGTTCTATAACAAGTGGAAATGAATTAGAGAGAATGTTTACAAATAATATTGCTGTGCACCCATTTTGAGCTCAACCTTGAAGCGCGTCTAAGGTAAATGATTCGCCTTAATTGCATTATGTTCCTGACGAGAAAACCGGGTAAAACATGATGGAATCAGTGTCGCAACTACCTTAAGAAACACTTTCTTTCATATCAAAAGTTTTTTCATTCTTTTGTATAGAAATCGCTACATAAAAGTTTATCGACGTTAATATAACTTCTTTGATGGCCTTTTATGCTCCTGTGTGCGAGTATTTAAAGTGCCTCTCTCTTGTTATACGCACATGTCTTTAAGGAAGAATGAAGACCAGCAGTAACTATGAAAACTAGATATCGAGAACCTGTTGTTTCAACTAAACTCGAATATCTTGGATAAATAAAATGATATTATAGTTCGACGAACATATCGGATGACGAGGTAATTAGTCGTTGATTCATATTTAAACCTCAGCTTGTTACTTTAACAATAAGAATGTATTTTTTAATCCTTTTAGTCTATTATATGATAATTAGTAATTATTTACACTTAAACTAATTAATTAATTCATAATTTTAATTTAAATCTCATTAATCTCTCTTTGTGCGTGATGAATAAAGTACTTCTTTGCTGATTCGATGCACGTCAGTTCCATACACAATATCTGCACTACTGCGTTGCTTATTTTGACCAGGTTAAAAATAATTTATGCTAGACTTTGCTCTTATAATAAACCAAAATTATATATTTTTTTTGCCAATTTTTAACTAATAAATTTTCAAAAATTTCTTTTCCTCAAGAAAAGGAGATGACCCTTTCGAGATGAACACTATCACATATGTAACTGATCCTACAACAAGCTTCCTGGTCCCTTGTTGGCAACTCATAGGAAAAAAAAATATGATCTATGTTTTTTCATGCTGTTTGTCTTCAACTATACTTGACTCAATAAGAGAGAGTCAGTACAGATCCGTCGCACAGTGGTTTATGCAGAGAAAGTGAATTTTTGAGTCCCCGGTTCGAATCCGAGACGAATCTTTTTGGTTTTTTCAAAATCTAGTGCCGTTTGAACACAAATCAAGTAATCATACAATGTCGAAGCATTTATGTTCTTTATATTTCAGATTTTTCCTATTGTAATGAACAACTCAGCGGAGAAAGATTATAAAAAAAATATTTTGCTTTAAAAAAAGAATATAAAACAGTTGTTGAGAATAGCAGAAATTGTGAAAGAATTAGACAACAAAAAATTTTTTGTTCGTGAGTTGGCATCTATGTGTTTCATAAAATATTGTATTTTTTTTGTCGTTTCAGCCAGAATACACCAAGCCCAGCACATTTTATAAAAATTGATATAGTTGCGTATTCTGGTGTATTCTCGTGTATTGTCAGTGAGAATACACCAAACCCAGCAAGCGCAGCACATTTTAAAGATATTTATATATTTGCGTATTCTGGTGTATTCTCACTGACAATACACGAGAATACACCGGAATACGCAAATATTGACAATATATAATATAGTGCCGCCGTCGGGGGGGGGAGGAGATGCATCGTGAGAGTGAGTCACTATGCAACATTTGCGTATTGTGAGTTAGAATACACCAAGCCCAGCACATTTTATAAAAATTTATGTATTTGCGTATTCTCGTGTATTCTCGTTTATTCTCATCGAGAATACACCAAGCCCAGCTAGCCCAGCACATTTTAAAGATAGTTATATATTTGCGTATTCTGGTGTATTCTCGTGTATTCTCAGTGAGAATACACCAAGCCTAGCAAGTTTGAAAAAAACGGTCTCTTTTTGAGAATACACTGCGTAGTGATATTCTGACACCACTCGTTTCAGCTGCACCACCAAGTTCATGGATTTATCAAACATTGGCCATTATTCAGCCTCAACCAGCTGAGGTTAAAAATTACGTATGTCAGACTTTGCTCTTATAATAAACAAAAACTATATTTTTTCTCTCTGTTTTTACTTTAGAAAATTCCATTAGCACCAGAAGTTTTACGTTCATGCTTAAAAAAAACGCCAACATTCACTGTACGTGAAATTGTTAAATGTTTATTTCCTGATCAAGAAAAATTAACAACATTGAAAGCATCTGATTTAAATCATGAATTATTCGGTTCAATAATGGGTAACCTTAAGACTTATTTAAAAGACGATAAAAAAGTTCAAAAATTGTAGATTAAATCTTTCCGAGTACAGTTTCTCTTTTCAAAACTTCTGA